GTGCAATAATCCATGGTATGAGTGTACTTCAATTTACTTAACTTGCTTACTGGGGATGCACATGCCAGTGTAGTCCATTATGGATATTCTTAAGACTAGTGGCCTGGTATATTGGCCTGCATACTTAAGAGTGGAATTGTTAGTCATAGGGTATATTAGTTTTCTATTGCTGCTCTAACATATTACCATATATCTGGTGGCTTAAAGCAATCCAGATTTATCATCTTACAATTCTAAAGGTCAGAGTCTAAAATGGGTCTCACTGGGATAAAAGCAAGGTGTCAGCAGGGCTGTGTTCCCCTTTGGAGATTCTTGGGGAGAATCTGTTTTCTTGCTTTTTCTAACCCTCTGGGGGCTGCCTGCATGCTTTGGCTTATGGCCTCCTTTCATCTTCAAAGTCAGCGATGGCTGGTGGAGTCTTTCTTGTGCTGCATCACTCATTATCCTGGATCATCTGGGGGGATTCCAATGAGGATCCAGCTAAAGATCCTCAACTTATATCTTCAAAGTCTCTTCTATCATATAAGGTAATAACAGGTCCCAGGGATCAGGATGTGGACATTTTGAGGGGCCATCATTCTACATTTAATACATTTGTATGATAAATCTTTAAAAAATTTTTTTTATTTATTTTCGGCTGCGCTGGGTCTTAGTTGCTGTGGGTGCTTTTTTCTTTTAGTTGAGGCAAGTGGGGGCTACCCTCCAGTTGTGGTGCTTGGGCTTCTTATTGTGGTGGCTTCTCTCGTTGTAGAGCATGGGCTTCAGTAGTTGTGGTGGACAGACTTAGTTGCTCCATAGCACGTGGGATCTTCCTGGATCGGGGATTAAACCCATGTCCCCTGCATTGGCAGGCAGATTCTTACCCACTGTGCCACAGAAGCGCCACCAGGGAAGCCCCTATGATAAATTTTAAATGTATTACATAAGGACAAATAGGGACTTCCCAGGTGGCACTAGTGGTAAAAGAACCTGCCTGCCAATGCAGGAGACATAAGAGATGAGTTTGATCCCTGGGTCAGGAAGATGCCCTGAAGAAGGAAAGGGCAACCCACTTCAGGATTCTTGCCTAGAGCATCCCATGGACAGAGGAGCCTGGCGAGCTACAGTCTATAGGGTTAGAAAGAGCTGGACACGACTGAGGTGATTTAGCATGCAGGCACACAAGGACAAACAGAAAGTCTCTGTTGCTGCACATCCTTGCTAACACTTGGATCAGAGCTTAAAAATGTTGCCACTCGTCTGTAAACTATCTCCTAAGGGAATGGGGGAAGGAAATTCAATCATTTCCCATATTTCCAGCCTCTGACCAAATCCTTCCACAAACAGTATTGATCATCTACAACTAACCTGCCTGGATTTTCAGCATTGTTTGAAGTAGCCTGGTCCCAACTATTAGACTCCTTATATTTTAGACATTCCATCAGCCTGCTGGCTGTCTCACATGCAGACTTCATTCCTATCTGGTTCTAAGTGTCTTCTAGTCCCCATCTGCCTAGAGTGCTGGTATTTTAACCATATTCAATGATGACTCTATTTGAATGATTATGGAGTGGTCATGTGCAACTGAAGAGGCATGTTATGACACCCTAAATAAAAAGCCACCACCTTCATGCCAATATTTCAACTGCTCCATTGGCCATGAATTTGGTGCTAAAGCTTGGCTTGCATTTACACTAACTGGGGCTGATTCATTAGAAAAGACCTTGATGCTGGGAAAGATTGAAGGCTGGAGGAGAAGGAGATGACAGAGGATGAGATGGTTCAATGGCATCACTGGCTTGATGGACATAAGTTTGAGCAAGCTCCAGGAGATGGTGAAGGACAAGGAGGCCTGGAGTGCTGCAGTCCATGTGGTTGCAAAGAGTCAGACGTGACTAAGTGACTGAACAACAACTGGGGCACTAAAAGGTTATGAAGCGTGAGTAGCAAAGGTCATCTGAGATGGAAACCAAAAGTTTCCAGGGGATTTCAAGGTATAACAGAGCTTTGAGTGTCAAATGGCATGGCAGAGGAAACATTTTCCGGACCTTAAAAATATTTGCCATAAAAAAATGCCTCTACTACAGCCAGTTTGATGTTGAAATACCCTCAAAGAACTACTTAGATTGGCACTTTTTGAAAAGTCTACAGCATTTACTACCAAAGTTCACTTCCCAGGTAGAAGCACAGAAACAGAGAATGCTGGGGTATACTTCTCACAAAGTACAGTCTCACAGAATTCCCATTTCACTTCTACCTTATGCACTGGAAATTTTCAGCATGGGCATAGTGCCCAGTATAATAGCAAATAAAACAGATGTGCTTTTCCATTCACATCGGTCAGGAAATTTCATATTAAGCAGTTCAATAATTATATAAGAAGTGTCATCTATATGCTAAAATATCCCTATAGACTAATTGATATTGGTAAAACTGTGTTAAAGGGTATAAATGCTTGAAAACTGGTATCAGGAGGAGAACTTCCAATCTGTAACCAGGAAGTTTCACATTAGGCAGTTCAAGAAAATGGAAGCTGAAGTGCTGGCCGGAACTCTTCCTGCTACGTCTCCCACACCCAGGAGCAGGGTGCTTTTAGTAGCTGGCCACAGGACGCTTAGAGTCCACTTTTAAAGGCATTAGCATGGCTGGAGTGGCCTTTCGGGGAGAGAGCCTCGGAGGGACAGCAGCATTGCTAGGACTCCTCCTCTGGCAGCAACCAGGCGCTCAGAACGAGGCGATGGTAAGTGGGACTAAGAAACTATCAAGCTGGCCAGCAAAAGCCAGTTACTGAGGTCTGGAAAGCATCATGAGACAGCGACCAACCAATGTCTTCACAATCGACCCCTCTCCTCTGGTTTTCTTGCTTTGTCCTCCAGCCTCACGAGTAAAGGCATTCCCACAAGATACTGTCTCTAGCCCTTCCGCTTTCTTTACATGCCTTCCTATTGTTCCATTATCTCTTGGTGTATAAGTGGAAGACTTGCAGTGATATAACCACAGCCCTGCTCTTTTGCCTGAACTCCAGTTCTCTTTGGTCAAAACCTCAAGGTTTCCAAAGCTGACACTTACGTCCCCTCTCAAGCTTGTTTTTCCTCTTAGGTTCCCCAGTGCTGCTGATGGTGCCCCACGCTTAACTATCTGTTCTTCACACTGCCTTCCAAGTCATCTCTCTGGAATAGAGCGCTGATTACACCACCCACCTGCTCAAGAACCTTCCATGACTCCTGCTGTTATGGAATCAAGTCCAAACTTGCTGCCTTGGCATCAAATCCCTCTAAGACTTGCTTCACCATCGTCAGCTAAACTAATTAAACTCAAAAGCTTTTGCACAACAGTGGAAACTATGTATAAAATGAAAAGACAACCCACAAAATGGAAGAAATATTTGCAAACAATGCTACCAACAAGGGATTAATCTTCAAAATTTACAAATAGCTCATGTGACTCAATATAAAAACAAACAATACAAAAAAAAATTGGCAGGCCTAAATAGACACTTTTCCAAAGAAGACATATAGATGGCCAAGAGGCATGTGAAAAGGTACTTACCGTTGCTAATTATCAGAGAAAGGCAAATCAAAACTACAATGAGATCTCACCTCACACCAGTCAGAATAGCCACTGTCAAAAAGTCTACAAACAATAAAATCTGCAGAGGGTGTGGGGACACGGGACCTCTCCTACACTATTGGTGGGAATGTAAATGGATACAGCCACTATGGAGAACAGTGCAGAGATTCCTTAAAAAACTAAAAACAGTGCTCCCATATGATCCAACAATCCTACTCTTGTGCATACATCTGGAGAAAAACATGGTTTGAAAGGATACATGCACTCCAATGTTCATTGTAGCACTGTTTACAATATATCTGGGACATGGAGGCAACCTAAATGTCCATTGACGGATGAATGGATAAAGATGTGGTACATATATACAATAAATATTATTCAGACTTTAAAAAGAATGAAATAATGCCATTTGCAGCAACATGGATAGACCTAGAGACTATCATACTAGGTGAAGTACGTCAGACAAAGACAAATATGATATCGCTTATACGCAGGATCTGAAAAAATGATACTAGTGAACTTACTACAGAACAAAAAGAGACTCACAGACTTAGAGAACTTGTGGTTACCAGAGGGGAAGGGATAGATTGGGAGTTTGGGACTAACATGTATACACTGTTATATTTAAAATAGATACTCAACAAGGACCTACTATATAGCCCAGGGAACTTTGTTCAATACTCTATAATAACCTAAATGAGAAAAGAATTTTAAAAAGGGATAGATCCATTATATGTATTACTGAATCACTTTGCTGTACACCTAAAACTAACACAACATTGTATACTCCAGTATAAGAAAAAAAATACAAAAGCCTTACCTGGTCCTTCCAATTTAGCCCAACTCCCACCATCTCCTCCGACACGCGCAAATGTGCACATTGCTTTAAGCACAAGCAAGGTAGCGCTGCTGGAGCATTTTGCTGCTTTTGCATTTTTTCAGCCTTAACCTTTGCAACGCAAACCTGACAAATCAAGCCTTGTCCTTAGGCAGAGTTGGAGTTGGCAGAGCACAGAAAAGGTAATTATGCTCAGAGCAGAGCACCTGTGATGACCTCTGCATCTTCCCCTTGCCTCCCTGGGAGATAGCTCTTGGGCAGGTCAGCACCCTGTCCTGGGACAGAAGAACCTGGAAATCAGGCCAGGACAGTTCCTGCAGCAGCACCTCTGCTCTGCATCATGTCTGCATGGGCCCTTATACCGATGATCCCACACATGGGATTTCAGGTTGGTTTTTTTTCCTCCATGGTTGTGCAATCTACAGCTCACCAAAAATCCCCAGAACTGAGCAGCTGCACCCTGTCCCACCTTCCCTTGCAACTGGCAAAGAAGGTTTCAGAGAAGACAGTCTTCCCTCTGGTATCAAACATGAATCATGCTCTGTGCCGTGAAAACCTGTGTGCAGGGGAAGGTCTTGACCTCTTGCCACAAACCCAGGGAAGAGCCAAGTACCTTCTGGCCGTGGTTTTGGCTTTTCCAATCCTCCGTCTTGCATGAGCTCAAAGGCAAAGGAGACATTCAAGACCTGGAAAGAGAAATGAAGTGTGTGAGGCGCTACATACTCATTCCTGGACCCTTGCGGCTCCCTGGGACCTGCCCCTGGAAAGTGGAAGAACCAGCACTGTAGCCAGAGGGGCAGGGGCTGAGCTAAGCTGAGGCTGGTTTTTGAAGCAGAAACAATGCGGCCAAAGCGGGCCTGCCACACAGAGTGTGGACGAGGCCGAGCCTCTGTTGGTGAAGCACTCCCGGAGGAGTTAAAGATTCTGTCCGTGGCCTACTGTGTTCCTGTGTCACTGCCAGGACTGTAAACTCAGGAATTATGTGCTCACAGTCGAAAGAATCAGACAGTAAGACACCTTCAAAAGGACCTTCCTGGTGGCGCAGTGGTTAAGAATCTGCCTGCCAATGCAGGGGACACCAGTTTGATCCCTGGTCTGGGAAGATTCCACATGTTGTGGAGTAACTAAGCCCGCGAGCTGCAACTACTGAGCCTGTGTGCCCTAGAGCCCGTGCCCACAACGAGAGAAGCCACCACAGTAAGAAGCCCATGCACCACCATGAAGAATAGCCCCAGCTCGCCAGCAACTAGAGAAAGCCTGTGAGCAGCGAGGAAGACCCTGTGTGGCCAAAAATGAAATAAGTTAAAAAATAAAGTTTAGGAAAAAAAAGACATTCAAGAGGCAGGGAAAGGTTTCTGCTTGGGACCAAAGGCCTGTTGTCTAGCAGGTGGGCGGCAGCAATCCAGGAGAGGCATCAGAACCTGGCTGAGCGGGAGCCTCATGTCTGACCACTTTGCAGCCACCTTCCCTGTCACCTTGGGGAGGGATGAAGTGGGGCTGTGGCCCCCAGCGGGAAGGTGCGGCCAGGGGACCAGGGTGCAGGGGAGGGATGCTCAGGGGCTGTAGGTAGCTGCTCCCCAGCTCAGCTGCCCGCCCCCCGCCCCTTCCAACCACTGAAGACCCGAGGCAGACGGGAGGCCGCCGCCTTTACCCAGGTGGTCTCAGCACAGCTATGGGAAGACGGGTCGAGCATGTGGGCTGGGGCCTCCTCTCACCTTCTGTTCAAAGCTGTCCGGGGTCAGGAAGAAGCTGTGAAGCGGCACGAAGTAGCCCTCCAGGAGCCCCATGAGCAGCACCAGGTACACCCCGTCTGCAAACTGGACGAGAGAGCCAGGTGAAGGCACTGGGCCCCCCAGCCCCGGCCCATCAGCTTCCAGGTCAACCCCCAAAGGCTACGTCCCCGGGCAGGCTGCTGGCAGGCAGTGACGAACAGGGGCCCAGGGCGGGTAGGTCTGCTGCCCGACGTCCGGCTGGTCCACACACAGGCCCACGCGCCTGATCTCAACTGGTCCAGTATTTATTGAGCGCCGACTATGTACCAAGCACTGATCTGGCACATGGAGCACAGAGGTGGGTCAGGCGTGGCTCCGGCCCTGGAGGAACTCACGGTCCAGCGGGGAGACTGCTGTGGAGGACAGGCATGCAGCTGCTGCTGCTCTGCGGGAGGGAAACATGCTGGCCTGCGTGAGACCGGGAGAGGTCACTCATCACGAGGCAGGCACCAGGGAAGGCTTCCGGAGGAGGTGCTGCCTGGATGGAGACGTGAGGGATGAGCAGGAGTTAGCTCGGGAGGGCAAGCAGGAGGGAAAGGGTAAATATGTGTATGGTGTCTAGAACACTGCTTGGCATGTAGGCAACACTTAACACATATTAGATATTAGCTATTGCTATTTTTTTATCCTGGAAAACAACAAAGCAGTCAGGACACAACGTCCTGGCTCTTGCAGACAAAGCACAACTGTGTGCTCAGGGCCATGGCAAGAGGCTTAGAGCTGGTCCCTTCCATCAAAGACAACAGAGGCCTGATGGGCTGAGAACCTGGTCTGAGGAACAACAGGCGCTGAAGCCAAGCAGAGGGGTGCAGGCCTTCCACTCAAGGGAGGGGAGGTACGTGTGTGCTGGGCAGGCTTTGTGGGGACAGTGGGGGCCCATGAGCTGAGGGGAATGTGAAAGCAGTAGATGCTGTGGGTCTGGAAGATAAATGGCCTGAGTGAAGATATGGAGGTCAGATGCATATCTGATATTCTAGAACCTTTCAAAGGAGGCAGAGCCATCAAATATTTGTATAAACAACAGTTGCTAGAGTTCACAAGAGGTCAAAGTTCTTGGAAGAATCTTAGGAAACTTTTAAAATTCTAGACTGAATTACCCGGAATCTGGGCTGGGCCCAGAGTCTGAGCTCTGCTGGGTGACTAGATGGTAGGCCTGTGGCTCAACCTGGGTTATGGGCAAACCCTGAGCATGAACTTGACCTAGGAGTGGCTTCCTCCCTGTGTTCATCCATCTGGCCTTCAACTCAGGCGGGTAGGGCCTGAGCATGACTCATTCCAGGCCACCCCAGGGTGGACCATGGGAAGCAAACCCCAACATCTGTGTCAAAATCAAGGCCCTCCTACGGAATTGGTTAGCTGGGCCTTCCTCTGGCTGTGGCTGCAATGGGTTGAGGATGAAAGAATCCAATCTGTCAACTCAAGGGAGGACATTGGGTTAGGGTCAGGATTACTTATAGCTCTGAGTGCCACAGACCTAGCCTGCTCCCACCCCCAACTGCAGTTCCAATGACTTGGTGGTGAAACCTGCAGACAGGCCCCACATGTGCTCAGCAGAGACCCCCTTCCCTGCCCATGAAAAGTGAAGAAGTTCCAAGGGCTCATTCCAGCTCTCTCCAGGAATCATTACTTCTGCAGAGTGTCCCCATCTCCCACATATGATGTTGCCTCCAGAGTCGAGACACACCCAGGGAGAACTCAGGCACAGGCCTTTAAAAATACAGGAGGTGCCCATGTATTCAAAAGAAAATCACGCTTTAGAAATTAATTGCGAATGAAAGGAGATTGGGAAATGGGACACATTACATAGTCTCAAAGTATCTCCTAATATAGATTAGCTATTAATTATAAAGGGGAGGAGCTTTATGGTAGGGAAATCCGGGAGATGCCAACTTAGCCAAGTGATCAAAGTTACCACCACCGGGTACAGAACTGATGGACAAAAGTACCTGAGAAGAACACAGTATTGTCTCAATGGTACTGTTCTTGAACATGCATAACCTACCTCTAATCATGAGGGAGAAAAACAGAGAGATTCTATATACCATATAGCTCGCATTCTTCAAAAATGTCAACGTTAGGCAAACAGGCTGAGGATTTGTTCTCTATTAAAAAGAGACTAAAGAGACATGACAACTAAACGTTATCAGGTGAGAATACGAGGACATCTGTGTTTCTTAGAACCATGTGACACTACTCATGTCAAGAGTAGTCAAGTATCAGCAATTTCACATGGTTTAACCACAATAGGTTAACATTGCACTGATGTTAAAACTGCCTGAATTTGATTACTGTATTGTGATTCTCTAAGAGTATGTACTTGTTCTTAAGAGATGTATGCTGAAGTATTTAAAGGTAGAAAGAGAAAAAAAACCCAAGTGTGGACAAACGTTAACAATTGGTGTATGTGGGTGAAGAGTACATAGGGGTTCATGACAATAATCTTGCAGATTTTCAAAATAAAAAATTGGAAAAAATTCAGAGAAATCTCATGCAGTTCACCCCTCAGAGTGGAATAGAATTCCCTCTCCCTTCCCCAGAGAAGCTCCAGGGTCAGGATGGAAAGCCTCCCAACAATGTGGGGCCCTGGAAACAGTGGCGGTCCAGGGGATCTTGTCCCCCACCCTGCACTCGGGGCTGTCACCCACCTGGGTTTCCAGTTCTGTGACCTCCAGGTTCAGTTTATTCAGGTGTTTGTTCACGAAAGTGATGAGTGTCTAGAAGAAAAGCACAAGCCAGGCCTTGAGAGGGAGACTCTTGCCCTGGAGGCTGCCCCGTGACTCCACCGTGAGGACACAGGACGAGGACCAGCCAAGGCGGCGCAGCCAGTGGCGTTCTTGTGAAACTCCTGTGTCCACAGGGGAGGACGACCCCCAGGATCTGCAGTACCAGGCACTGTATGACTCAAACAGCCAGGCCCAGGACTGGGCAAGGAGCAGGGGGTGTGAAAGGACAGAATGACAGCTGGAGTGCCTGAGCCCAGGCTCGGGGGGCCAGAGGAGACATGACCACATTGGGTCCCTTCCGGTCCCCACTCCACGAGGTACAGGTGCCTGTGTCCAGGGAGACAGAGGGAGGTCTGTGTGAGGAGCAGGGATGGCTGGGGTTTCAGTGTGCTTGGGAGATGGGGGCCCGTAGCCTCAGAACCTCCCAGAGATGCTGTCATCCAAATGGGAGAAGAAAGAAACTAGATAAGGCATCCAGCGAGAATAAGACAGGTAAAATGGATATCAAGCAGGAAAGCCCTGTGTTTGTGGTCATCTGGACATGACACCAGTTTCAGAAAGCTTGCAAGCTGCTGGGGGTGGGTTTTCCTGATGTATTTTGACATCTCACTCCCCTTCCTCCCTCCCGCCCTCCTTCTCAGGCATCTCTTTCCCACCTTTTTCACCACGTTGAGCTTGTCTGGTGCATGATCGAACAAGGTGTCAAAGGCATCACGTTCTGAAAAAAAGAGAAAGCAAATAGAGCCCAGAGCTAGTGCCACTGCAGGTCCCAGGCACCAGCCTCTGCAGACCAGTGGTCACCTCCAGGTGGGAATTCTCTGGGGGATGAACCGTGCTGCAAACTCGGGAAACTGGGCTTGGGCAGAGGTTTGGGGTTGATTCTTATCTTGGGGGCCTTTCCCCAGTGTGTGTGTAAGCATGTGTCCATCCTCTACATCGACTGTCTTTAGGCTGGGTTGGGGGGCTCTATCAGGCAGTCTGGCTTGGAACTGGCCATTTTTCTTCACTATTTTGTATTCCTTGATACCATGATTTAGTCATGGTTCTAAAGTGTTTCTGAAGCTTTCTGGAAGCAGAATGTCATCCAAATATCAAATCACTTCACTCCCTAATTTTCAAAACCCAGATAGGCTTTCTGGTAGAAAGCAGATAGGCAGACTGGGAGCCACAGAGCTGCAGCTCAGAAGGGGGAGCTCCCGATCCTGAGGGATCCAGTCACGCCAATCCTTTTAGCCTTGCCTTCCTCTTCTATAAAATGTGCACTGGACATGAAGCTCCCCTAGGTGGGTAATGAGGATGAAAGACTAGAAAGTACATGCTCCTTAAACTCTGAAGTATCTGTTGATCTGAGTTATTATTAGCATGATTAGACTATTTCAAACCCTTATGCACAGTGAATATAGAATCAGAGAAAATAGTGAAGCCATGCCCCCTGCAGGGATTTTCCTCGCTACAGCCCCTAGGTCCTCTTATCTGAAGGGTGAAATAGTGGAAGGACGTACTTCCCTGTGGTCTAGTGGCTAAGATTCTGCTCGCAATGCAAAGGGCCTGGGTTCGATCCCTGAATAGGGAACTATATCCTACGTGCTGCAACAGTTTGCATGCTGCAACTAAATGATCCTGCATGCTATGATTAAGACCTGATGCAGCCAAATAAATAAATAAAAAGTAAATAGTAGAAAGAAAGAGTGGAGATGGATCTTCCACTGGGAATGGGGCGTCTCCAAGAGGAGCCCAGGCCTGGGCGGTTTGTGGTCCTGGGCTGCCTCTCCCACTCTCACACCCACTCTTGATGATTAAATCTGAGAATGGGAATTGTGATCTTGGACATTCAGAGACCTTAGAAACAAACCCAAGGTTCTGGGAAATGGGAGACGTAGGAGGCGTGATGAGGAAAGAGGCAGCTTCGAGGAGGGCTGGACAGACTGGGGAGAGGGAACTGTGCTGTGCGCATCGCTTGCTCTGCTTCCACAATATTCGCAGAGCAAGACTGCCCTGCGAGCGCCCGGGACCCATGCAGAAGCCCAGCAGTGTCGACGGTCTAGTGACCTGCAGGAGGACTGCAGCCGTGGTTCCTTCTCCTCTTCCCACCAGCGGCTGGCCCTCCCTCCCCACCAGCCAGCCCTGTCACCAGGCTGGCGCAGACAGACACGCAGGAAGCAAGCTGAGTGCCTGTTCTTCCAGCTGCTGCAGAATTAACTAGACCCCACTGGCAGTCACCAGCACCAGAGGACAATCTTACGCAACTCACCATGCCTTCCAGAAAGAGCCCTGCGGAAGAAGAGAAAAAACAGTGTGACCCTTCTCTCCTCACCTTTGGCTGCAGATCCCCCAAAGCTTCCTTCCTTGGCATCTTATTCTGCACTACGTCTCCAACTATGGGTGGTCTTTACCACATTACTACTTCTTTTCCCCCTCTGCTTTACAGATATACTGGGGTTCACACAAGCCTGGTATAAGTGATGCTTAAAGGACTTGCTTTAACTTTATTTCTTGCTTTAAATAAACTTATACTATTGCTTACAATTGAGAAGGAATATTGGATTTAGAGATTCAGGATCCCCAGCCATGTTTTAGGAGCAGGGCGTAGGGACCATCCCGATATGGCATTTCACTGTCCAGTTTGCTGAAGGCATCAGCTTGGGAAGGTAGGTCTGGCTCTCTCCTGTCCATCCTGTGATACCCACCAAAGTGTACTTGCCATTGACCTAGAACAGATTTTCTCAAAAAGGGCAGGAACTGGAACCGTACTCACAGCAGTGATGCAGCATAGTAAGAGCACAAGCATTAGCAACAGACCACTTAGGTTTAAGTCTTTCAGAGCTGTGCGCTTGCTGTGTGACCTTGGGCATGCTACCAAACCTCTCTGGGCTCCAGGTTGCTTACCCTTAAAATGAAGATAACATGGTAAACAACTCAATCAGATGTTCTGAGCATTACATGATTTAATATATACAAATATTTTAGTATAATTTCTAGTATATACTAAATGCTCAATACATTTTTCCTCAATTTTTATTATGTTTATTCTAACTGTATATCTATCACCTATTAAGCAATGACTTGCAGGTAGTGTACTAGGAAGAATAATGAACTTAGTGTTCAAGTCAAGTAAACCAAGGATGGCTTTCTCCTCCATCTTTGGGTTGTGAGGTTTTAGGGGGTGTAATCAGTGCTTCATGTGCCCCTGCCCTTTCCACTGGCTCTTCTTGTTCAAAGGATTATAGAGGAGAACTGGGGGAGCAGGAGAAGATACAAACAAATTTTGCCTGGTTTTGCATGTGGCCAGGCTCAGGCCTGCCCAGTGATCTCAGACCACCACACACCATCCTGCTCTTTGTGCTTGAGAACAAAACTTATCTTTCTTATGACAAACCTCTTACATATTCGGATATTCCAGTTTCTGTGAATGTAAATTAAAAAAAAAAAATAATCCACCACTCTAAGGTAGAGAGGGACTTTCTGGGTCATGGCATGTGACCATATAAATCAGATTCAGAAAAGGAAGAAAAATGTCCTTTTGAAGGTTAACAATTTAAATTCAACCCCATGTTTATGGCATGACGATTTCATGCTGGTTGGCTTTTTTGGGCACACTTTTTCCTGGAGTGCCACAAAATTAGAATTTTTCAATCACAGCTAATTCCCTCTCCCCACTTCCCCACCCAAGTTTGTACCTTAAGCATTGAGAGGCATGTTTTGAATGCACGGAAAAGGCTAAACTATAATCATTGGCTGAAGTCTAATCCCTCTTGCAATCCCAATAAATGAAAACTAAATATCAGCAAATGGATGAATTTCGGAGAAACATCTGTGTTCCATTACAGAATCGCTGGCAACAATGGTGTTGACATACTCTGTGTTACCAGTTATTTCCTCTTGGATTTGCCGAGACTGGAGGATTCCTTCTCGTTTCTGAAAACGGGGGTGGGGTGGGGAGAGGGTTGGGAGGAGGAGAGAAAAATATGCTTTAGAAAAATACAAAAAACTGATTAACATTCCTGATACTGAGAAAGTTACTGGCATTTAAGAAATGAATCCAGCGATGAGATACTGCTAGAAGTGAAAGAAGGCCCCTGGTTTCCTGGGACTGGACTGTACCATTCATACTTAAGTGCAATTAGTGTTTATTCCAAACAAGTCGGCTGTTTCTTGGATGGCAACTCTTTTCTTTCTTTATTGGAAGACCTTCTGCTGGAAGCACACTGCCTCCTGGAGAAACCCACAGTACACCAATGGAAATGAAGGCCAGGGCGTATCTGCCCTCTGGCTGGGGCCACAGGGGGAAGCAGAGAAACACGTTTAACTGGGGGGCGGGGGTCTGGGGTGGAGGAACTGAAGCTAACTTGGAGAAATCAGAAGGTGAGTTTTTAAAAAGTGTTTAACTAGGAGAGCTTTTAAGTAGGTAGTACAGTCCTTAGGTAACTAGCTTATGCTCTGAGAAAAGGGTAAGCAGTTTTTCAGTCCATCCACTCATCCACTCATCCATCTGCCCATCCATTCACCCACCCATCTACCCATCATCTGTCTACCCCGTCCCATCAACTTATCTTCTTTCTTCTCTGTTTCATTAATCAGTGCCTTCTACGTACAAGCCCCTCTGTTGGACTTAATGACAGTTTTGGACCTCGAGGAACTTATGAGTAAAATGGGGTAGATGAACAGGTAAGCAAGAAGGTTTTCCCCCAAACAAGCCCCTGGCTTATGCCTCAGGACCCAGCTCAATTATTAGAGTAGGATCCTCTTTCCCTCTCAAACGTGTGGTGGATAAGCAATTACATGGTCACCCCCTGCAGAGAGGAAGTACTGAGAGCAGGACCAGACAAGTGCTTTCAGCTGGGAGGGTCAGCCTAGGCCTGGGCTGGACACAGATGAGAGACCACTCTAGTGGGAGGGATGGCCCGGCAAAAAAGGCAGAGTCAGGAGAGCACAGGCACGATCAGAATGCTGTTCAGAGAGGCAGAGGCTGCTGCTAGTCAACTTTTAAAAATTAACTTATTTGGCTACACCTGGTCTTAGTTGCAGCATGCAGGATCTAGTTCCCTGATCAGGGATCAAACCTGGGTCCCCTGCTTTGGGAGCACAGTCTTTGCCAGTGGACCAAGGGAAGTCCCTACTGTTAGTCAGCTGAGTGCTAGTTTACATGGGCATGTGAGCTGATAAGCAGTGCTGGGGTTCAGGGAGACATTCTGATGAAGGTGAGGAGAGAGATGCATTCATCAGGTCCCTACTCAATCAGTTACCAGACACTTGGAAGATAGTCTGGGCATGGCAAGAGGTTGTCAGAGCAAATCCATTTTCCACAAAGGCCAAGGTATGTCAAAAAGGAGCCTCCAAGCTTTAGTGTCTTGGCTAAAACCTGCCTTCTGACCCTCCTGCCCCAACTTTCACAACCCTTTCTTGGCATTCCCAATAGCCACAGAAACTAGCATCCTTACAAAATCCTTTTACAGAAGGAAAGGTAGAGCTGGATAAAGGCCATGACTGTATCTGGATTAGATTAAGAAGAATGAACTATCAAAGCAAAAAAGGAAGAAGAAAATGTAAAATACCATTTAAAAAAGATCCAGTGAGGATTAACCAGGACTTTCTCCAAATTCAGCTTCAACATATGTAAAAATTTTCACATAGGACTAATAAGGCCATTCACAGACATCAAACCTCATCTCCAACAACAGACAGAATTAATAAATGCTTGTACATAGAACGGAAAAGAATTCTGGGTTCAGTGCCCCCTCACATAGCATCCTGATTCACTTCAATCCACTATTTGTTCCCTAAAGAACTAACCCTCTAGTTCAGTCAGCATCTTATAGCCATTTCTGAGTCATGCTTCTGTGCCTGTTTAACTTGATAAAGCAAAACACCCCATAAAATCTGACATGCCTTGATGCCATTTTATGCAACACGTCCTCCTTTCTCCCTCATGCTAACAAAACTGCCTGCAGGAGAAATTAAACCAGCGACAGACTTCTGATGGCCTATAATTGAGCTCAAAATAAGGCATGAGACATGGGCCTGCAGTGACCACTGTTTCACCCCCCATCCTCACAAATCCTGAATCATAGTTTTAAAAAATATAATAAAATGGATTCACACTTTATTGATTCATAAAAAAATGACACAATAGAGATGGCCTGGATTCACTAGGAAGATGCATATACCAGGAGGCTCTGGGCTGGCCACGTATCCATAAAATCCCTCATGCCATGCTTGACACAGTTGAGAGCCCAGTAAGTGAGGCCAATTAGTCCCTTTCAGCCAGCTGCACTGGCTGAACCACACAGGTTTGCATTGACAAGGGGCCTCTGATAGCCCTCTCTGCTGCTTAGGTAGTCCTGTATCTGGGTAAGCAGGGCCAAGGTGTCATATTCCTATTATACCCTCTTAATCTTTAGCAAGTTAAGTACCCAGAAGGCATTGGAAAAAATACTTTTTCATTAGGGCCTGGCTGAGTGGCACCCCCATGTCCGCCTTTCCTCTGGTTCACTTCTGATCGCTGAAAGCCTGGCCCAAAGACCTTTTGTCCAAGAAGCTGGCCTGGCCTGGCTTCTCAAGCAAAGCCTACTCACCCTCTAGGCTCTTCTTCACCAAGGGATGGCAGAGCCGCCAGACAGAACCCTGGATAACCTTGAATAACCAGGGAGTTGCTCATTAGGGATGTTCTCCCTTGCAGCATGTTTATTTGGAAAAGAACAGAAGCCAACAAAATGACGACCTTTTGCTCAACAGCATAAAGTTGGAAAATAAAATTGAATTTGAGTATCTAATGGGGTTAGGAGCAGAATGAGATAGTCATGGGGAGAGAGCATCCCCTTATTGTGGAAAGGACAGAGCCGTGTGTGAATGGAAATTCCACATAATAATCTGCACAAGATGACTTGATACCACAGCTGTGCTTCTCTGGGCAGGTGAAAAGCGGCAGTGCCCTCAACATGGGCACGGCCTGTCAGGGTCTCTCTCAAACACACATGTGTGCACACGCACATGTGCCCTCACATGCACAGATACCTATCTCTTCTCAATAACTGTGCATTGGTTGTTTAACCAAAAAATGACTCTCCGTGGCTTGCAGGACATACACAAACACACACATGGATATGTTCTCCTAATCCTACTACACAGACCTCACAAATATATACACCCCCCCAACCCTCAAATATATAATACCCAGGCACCTTCCTTAAGAAAGCATGTAAAACCCAGGCACACGCCCCACATAAGGCTGTCCCAGACACAAGCACACGCTCTTCTACCCTTTTGGTACATATATCGGAGATAAGCCCACATACATCAGAAAGCTCAGACATGCCTCCCAACACACAGCACACCCAGGCACACTCAGCATTCATTCAGTCCTCCTAGCGAGCTTCCCAGTGTGCCTGAGCTCACATGGGAGCTTAGCCCCTGCACCCCTTTAAGGGCACCAATGTTTGTAGTGGTTTCTGACTTACCTGGACCACAACCACTTGGATAGAAACATGGTCTGGGAGTCGGATTGGTGCCCGGAAATATTGGGACAGAGCAACTAGCAGATGCAAGATGGCTACCAGGCTCTTGGCATGAACGGCTGAAATAAAAGATAATTTATAAATCAGAGAATCTTCTTCTAGGTTCTAGGCAGATAAAAACATATTCAAAACATAGCAATGCCACATGGGGCTAATGGAGTCTGTGTCCTGGTCTTGTGAGGCCGTTCATGGCCATCCAAGCTCATCTTCAGCTACATGCACAATTAAATGCTTGTACACAAAATGGAAAAGAAATATGGGTTCAGTGACCCCTCACCCAGCATCCTGATTCACTTTGATCCACAATCAATGCCCCTTTCATCCCACCCCTATGGGTCAGGGGACACCCTTAGTCATAGTAGGCCTCACCCTGGGCCCCCTCGGTTCTCAGCCAGATCCCGTGGATTTACTTCTTAAATCATGTTATTGCTGGATTGCAATGCAGTGCTTCTCCACTCTGATTGGGACCCTGACAACAGCTGAAGCCTGAGCTCAGATCAGCACCGCACCACCTCCATGTTCTTGTTCACTCTATGCCGATAACCACACGCATTATCTGCTGTACCCCTCACCCTTCCCATCTGATGAACTCTATAGGTTATCACCACTACTCGTGTTCCAAGGCTCTACACAAAGCAGGCCCTCAATCAGTGGACACTGAGTCAGGACACTGGGTGCCTTCCTTCGTCCAGGGCTTTAAGACCCCCCAAAGAAGGCATGAGAGATACCCAAGGATTTTGTTGCTCTCTTGAGTGCCATGCATGGTCAGTCCAGGCAATGCCCTTTGGGTCATAGCTGGGAGGAGATGTTCAGGCCCCAGTGCCTTCTATAGCTGAGCTGTGTGCTGGATGTTAAGCTGTGTATGCCAGAAAAGGCTGGGAAACTACTGAATTGTAGTTTTCTGAGATGAGATGAGAAGAAGGCTGTGATGTAATCGGCACACAGCGTCGGGCCAACTGGAGCTTGAGTTCTGACTTGACAAACTACCATTCACTTACTGAGTACATGGCCTTGGGTAAGGCATTCAAGGCCCCTGAGGCTCAATCTGCTCAACCTCACACATGAGGATAACAATACCTTTGAAGAAATGCAGGTGGTAAGAATTTCCAGACATAACATAGGCAAAGCTCACAGCACATAGCAATGCCTAGGAATGGTTGATTTTTTTATGATCACTTATGAGAAAGTGCATGGCATCCAGGCAACTAAACCATGTCAACTTTTTCCCCTTTGTTTCATGAAAGGAGAAAGTCCCCAGATACTTGACCTGCCTTCACAGTCCTGCCAGCCTTATGGGTTTAATTACAGGGGCATTTAAGGAAGGAACAAGAAATGTCTATTTTGTGTAGTTAGTGAGTATGAACTGGGCCCATTATTAGGGTGTCATTCTGTCTGCCCTGGGATCAATAAATCTGCTCTAACAGAAGCTTTGGGAAATCACCAAGAAAATGAAATGATTCAGACCATTCTTGGGAACTCATTAGAGTTTTCTGTTATCCCTGCTGCTTCCAAGAAGGTTTTCCACTGACTATGAAGAACAGCAACTCAATACTACCACCAAACAGCAGATGGACTGCTCCTAACTCATGGCCTTCCAGGAGGAGTTTTCAGCTTGGGGCTTTTGGCTTTGTCAACTAAGAATCCCCCAACATTTATAGCTTTAAAAAAGGCACCTGGGGGCTTCCCTGGTGGTCCAGTGGTAAAGAATTCATCTGCCAATGCAGGTGACACGGGTTTGATCCCTGATCAGGGAACAAAGATCCCATGTACTATAAGGCAGCTAAGCCCATGCAGCAACTAGAGAGACTGCACATCACAAATAAGACCCAGTGTGACCCACTTACCCTTTCAAAAAAGGGCGCCTGGCATGGGATGGACCCACTGACATGATGCACAAAGGCAGAATCTGGGTTTGCTCTTCTGACCACATCAGAACTGACCACATCTGTCCTGTCACTGAGGGTTGTAAGGACATTTGCTACCTCTACCCTTTTTTCATAATGCTGGAAAAGCTGTGGTCGGAAATTTTGTTCTCACACCCTGGTGATGTTGTATGCTACCTTGACTGTCTCTGTAAGCAAAGTAGAGCTATGTTGTAGGCACCATACGGATGTCAGACTCTTCCAATGAGTGCTCTGTCTTTCTGGGTATACTTTCAAGAGAAAAAATTACAGAGTTTCTCTTTCTCTCTCTCTCACATCACATACATGCTATGTTAAATAATAAATGCTGGAGAGGGCATGGAGAAAGGGAATCCTCCTATCTTGTTGGTGGAAATGTAAATTGGTGTAGCTACCATGGAAAATAGTACTGAAGTTCCTCAAAAGATAAGAGTTAGCATATGAGCCAGCAATCCCACTCCTGGGCATATATCTGGACAAAATCATAATTCAAAAAGATACATGCACCCTTATGCTCATAGCAGGCTATTTACAATAGCCAAGACATGAAAACCACCTAAATGTCCATGGAAAGATGAACAGATAAAGATGTGGTATAATCAACAGAGGTATGGATAAAGAAGATGTGGTAATAAATAAATGGACTATTACTGAGCCATTAAAAAGAATGAAACAATGCCATTTGCAACAACATGGATAGACCTAGAGAGTGTCATACTGAGTGAAATAAGTCAGAGAAGGAGAAATATCATATGACATCCTTTAAATGTGGAATCTAAAAAGAAATGATACAAATAAACTTACAAAACAGAAAGAGACTCACAGACTTAGAAAATGAATTTATGGTGGCCAGAGGGAAGGGACAGTTAGGAAGTTTGGGAAGGTCATGTACACACTGCTATATTAAAAATGGGCAACCAACAAGTACCTGTTGTATAGCACCTGGAACTCTACTCAATGTTATGTGCCGGCCTGCATATGAGGAGGTTTGGGGGAGAATGGATACAGGTCTATGTATTGCTGAGTCCCTTCGATGTTTATCTGATATTACAACATTGTTAATTGTCTATACCCCAGTACAAAATTAAGTTTAAAGTTTGGGAAAAAAAAAGATGTGGTATATTTACACAATAGAATACCACTCAGCCATTAAAAAGAAGGAAATAATGCCATTTGGATGGACCTAGAGATGATCATAGTAAGGGAAGTAAGCCTGACAGAGAAAGACGAAATATCATATGATATCACTTATATGTAGAATCTAAAATATGACACAAATAAGCTTATCTACAAAACAGATTCACAGACACAGAGAACAGACTTGTGGTTGCCACGGAGGAGGGTGTGTGGGGAAGGGATGGATTGGGAGTTTAGGGTTAGCAGATGCAAAGTATTATATATAGAATGGGTAAACAAGGTCTTACTGTATAGCACAGGTAACTGTATTCAATAACTTGTGATAAACCATAATGGTTGATTATCATATATTATCACTTAAAAAAATCTGGAAATGCATATCCAAATGTAAGAGGATGGTTTAGACAAGCAGTCTAACTTCAGTTTAAAAAAAAAAAAGTAAGCAGAGACATCCTTTGTTCCAAAAGTCATCAGGCAAAAGTGATACGAAGGGGTACAGCTGCTCTGGTCCTGTTATCCTAACTACAGCGCTGCTTCCCTTCTCCTCCGTGATGCCTGACTTTTTCCTTGCAAATCCCAAGGTTGGGACAAACATGGTTTAATAGTCACTGCTTGAATAAATTATAGAACATCCACAAGATGAGACAGTTTGCATGCATTGAAAATCACTGTTAAGACAAAGTAGATGTAAATATTAAGAATATTAAAGGGAACTAGAAATAAGGTAAATATACACATTTATGGATTTCTGCATATAAATACACATATATTTGTACATATGTGCATACATACATGTATATAAATACACACACATACACATACGTACACAAATACACACATATACACATGTACTTGTTGCCAAGCCTTGGAAAGTGGAAAAAACAAAATGCTATAGCTGAAAGATTCTTTATTCCTGCTTCAAATGTTTCTTTAGAATAGAGACATGTTATCTTTTCAATTAAGAAAGCTTCTGACAACCTCTGTGTATCTGGGCACTCTCATCATTTTATCTCTTGGCACATCTCCTGGGTGTCTTCTCCCTGATGCCGGGCAGAATGCAGGGCCACTGTGCTCAAGTCAGGGTGGAGACGTGCAGAACGACAGCAGGGCTGAGCAGCCGAGACTCTGCCGCATAAACTGGGCCCTGCAGCCGCTGTGCCAAGACGGTCGCTCCAGCACTGGGAAACTGTTTCAAGGGTGCTGCTGAGTGAGAAACAGTCCTCCAAACATGAATTGTGGTGGAAACAGAAACTGGTGCAATTTGGGAGGAGGCAATTTGACAGTATGTGTGAGGACCTTAAAATGTACATATCCTTTGGCTCTAAAGTCACTACTGGGTTTTTATCCTAAAGAAGTAATTATTATCTACGAGCAGACAGAACTCCTCAGGCTGTACGGATATCAGTGAGAAAATGGAAAAAAATCTTAAAATCTATCATGAGTTAAGTAAATTATGATATACCTAATCTATATCATATTTTTAAAAGTGACATATAGAAGGATATACAATGATCTGTAAAGATAAACATTTTCTAAACAGTATGTACAGGTTGATCTCATCTTCATAAAAATATATTTTATATGTAAAGCATATGCACACAGTTTACTCATTTATTGATGTATTTAATTCTTACAAACATGCACACAGCCTGAAGGAACATCACAAGGCTGACAGTGCTCATATCTGATGGACGGCTCGGGGGGCATATGTGTGGGCTCAGTACACAGACTCTGCAGCCAGACTTTCTGGGTCTCACTCCTGGCTCCACCGCTCACCCACCATGTGACCTTGGACAGTGACACTCCTTTAGCAAACAGTATTGTGCTTAGCATTGCCAATCACTTTCCCAGGCTTTAGGGACACAATAGTAAAGGGGCAAAAATCCTTGCCCTTGGGAAGCTTACATTCATTGTTTCTTAACCTGTCTATGCCTTCACTTTCCCATCTGTAAAATGGGGACAGTAGAATCCTTACCTCAGATGGCTGAATAATGATTGCAAGGCTCAAAATATGTAAAGTGTTTAGATAAGTACAAGGCATACAGCACTATAAATATGTTAGATGTTATTTAAGCGTCTTTTAACTGTATTTTCTAAATTTTCAATAATAAAAATTATTATTGTGAATTAAAAAAAAAAAAAAAAAGGAAGAATCCCCTAAAGCCCTGGATCAAGGACCTTGGAAACTCAGTGCTGTCCCTGCCACCTTGATCCTGAGTGGAAAGATGACACAATGTCCTCAGAAAGAGCCAGGGAAGATAACTGAGAGAGGAGGGGCTAGAGCCTGCCCTGGGAGTCATGCCCGCCACATTCCTTATCACAGAAACCACTGTAGCCTGAAGCCCCGAGGCATCACAGGGAGCTGGTTCCTGAGATAATTATTCCCTCTGACCTAGTAATTCCTCTCGGTTCTGGAAAGCTATCTGATGAGAATAATTTAAGAGAAGCAGTGTCACAACCTAACATTTAACTCGGCACTATCTGATATTAGCAATAAGCTGGAAAACATTCTGAAAAAGATCAGTGTCAACATAGGGTTTAAGTTAACCATGGGACACCTAGCCCAGGAAATAGAGCAGCTATCAAAAATTATAACTACAAAGACCACATGTGAATATAGAAGATGTGTATGATGTAATATTAAGAGAGGATAACAAAATGAGTTTGTATATGCCTTCATCAAGTAAAAATATGAAAAACTATGCATTGATGTGGATAGTAATGGCAAAAAAATGAAAACAGCTAGATGAGAGTGGTAATAGATGTGATTATTTTACTTGTAGACATTTCTCTATAAGAAATGAAAGTGAATGCGAACCCAAAACAAATCATTCAAAGCCATTGAAGACAAGGGTTCTGATGTGGCTTTAAAAAATTCCAATCTTAAGCCAGGCAAAATGGTTTGGGGATGGGGAAGATGAAATGAGGAATGTTTCAGATCAAGAAAATATCTTCCAGAAAGGGTTCTAGAAAGGTGGGAATATTGTGCCCTATTTAAATGAGGCCAGTGTATGGATGACAAGGAGAGAGGCAGAGACAGCATCAAATACATTTGCAGACAGAGAGGTAGGTGGGGGGTTGGCCAGATGTTAAGGGTTGATTTGCTCACTCCAGCCTCAAATTCATCCTGGAGAAGGAAATGAAAACCCACTGGAGTCTTAGCCTCCAGTCCCCCTGAATGTGACCTTATTTGTAAAATCATTGCAGATGTGATTAGTTAAGATGAGGTCATGCTGGAGTAGGGGGGAGTCCCTAATCCAACATGACAAGTGTCCTTATCAAAAGAGAAAATTTGGACACAGAGATATGCATAGAAAGAAGGTGATGTGAAGAAATACAGTAAGAAATCAGCCCTCTGTGAGCTCAGGAGAGAGGCCTGTAACAGATCCTCCCCTTGCAGCTCTCAGAAAGAACCAAGAAACCTACCCCTTGGTCTCAGACTTGTGGCCTCCAAAACTGGGAGCAAATAAATTTCTGTTGCCTAAAAACAAATGACACAAAACAATTCCATCTTTCCTATTCCCAAGTTGGATTCCATGATACACGAAAAGGAGTTTTGAAACAAGGTCCTACTATTGTAGGACAGGGAACTATAGTCAATATCCTGTGATAAATCATAATGAAAAATAATTTTTAAAAGAATGTATACATATATATATATATATGTATGTATAACTGAATCACCTTGCTGTATTGCAGAGATTAACACAACACTGTAAACCAATTTGTTTCAATAAAAAAGAAAAGAGCTCCAGAGGGCTTCCCCAATGTTTTACCCCTTCCCTGGTGGCTCAGAGGGTAAAGAAATTGCCTGCAAAGCAGGAGACCTGGGTTCGATCCCTGGGATGAGAAGATCCCCTGGAGAAGGGAATGGCAACTCCCTCTAGTATTCTGGCCTGGAGAATTCCATGGAGAGAGGAGCCTGGTGGGCCACAGTCCATGGGGTTGCAAAGAGTAGGACATGACTGAGCAACTAACAAATCAACTATACTTCAATTAAAAAAAAAAAGAGGTAAAAGGTGTTTTGTTTTGGAGAGGTATATAGAGATGGTCCATATTCAAAGGAGCGGGAAATAGGATCAAACAAAACTGACCAGTGGTCACTATCAGAGGACTTCAATGCTTATGACTATTATGGATTTCCAGAATGCAGATACATTACCCAAACTAGTGATCGGCTCCCTTTCCCTCCCCCACTGAACATGACTAGCATTCCTGGGGCTCACAGCCGCAGCCTCCCCTCCTCCCTCCGTCAGGTGTCTCCTCTGCTCGGCAGAGGATGCCTTGTTCCCAGTGCTCTGTGCTGCTCCAGGCAGCTTATCACGCCTGCAAGCAAACGTGTAATTATGCTGAAGGAGGCACTTGGCGTCTCTCTGCCAATGTTGGATGTTCGGAACCTGCTGAAGAGATTGCCAGTGGCAGCTACTATGTCTCTGACTTGGAGAGGTGAAGATTCCCTTTATTTTCCCAGGTCTAAAAGGTGGTGTTTTGGGGTGGGGTGGGGTGGAGACGTCCATTTTAAGCAGCATACATCAGGACCTCCCTGGTGGTCCAGAGGTTAAGAATAAGGCTGCAGTGCAAGGGACGTGGGTTTGATGGTTGGTCTGGGAGGATTCCACATCCTGTGGAGCAACTAAGTCCATGAGCCACGACTACTAGGGCTGCAGTCTAGAGCCCACGCAGCGGAACTACTGAAGCCCGGCGCCCAGAGCCTGTGCTCTACAACAAGGGAAGCCACCGCGACGAGAAGCCCACGCACCGCGTGTAGAGACGGCTCGTGTGCAGCAACGAAGGCCCAGGGCAGCCAAAAATAAATAAATACAAATTAGAAAAAAAACTTAAAGTTGTCTACGTCAGATGCAGTAAGATATAATACTCAATCCCTTAATACTTAAAAGGCAAAACCTACAGTCTAAGTCATTTTATTCATCTAAATGCATATTTTTATTCTATCACAGAACAAAACAATGTTGGGCTCCTGATAGGAAAACGTGATGTTGCTACTGGATTTGCTCAAATCTGTTGATCTCATGTTGACTGATATGGACTCAATTAGGTCCATATTAGACAGCAGGGCCCTTGAGGCAGCAAGAGAATGAACGGTTTAAAATCTCTGAGAACCTTGAGCTACACTTGCATGAAAACCTGAATCTTAAAATCTTATTTCAGTACCTATGCTCTCAACCATATCTCTGCTCCCTCTGGACAGTAAGGGGGTGAGAGGAAGAGGGTGGGCGTCGGGACAGAGCCAAGTCCCTGCTCCCCGCTTCTCAGCTGCTCATACTAGGGGATCTCCGCTTCCCACAACCTTGAGAAGCTGGAGACAGCTTTCTCAAAAGGTTGTGCTGGGACTCAGAAGTAGCTCAATGAATGGGAGTTTCTTTCCCAACAATCTACATGAGGTTTCTACAGAATGCCTTTTATAGAAAAAGCACACTAGATTTTGACATTTTGTGGTTTTCCTCAGCTTCCTTTGGATGAGGGTGATGAGCTTGCATTCTAAGGAAGGGGACATCTCGTTCAGATGGGTTTGCACCCACCCAGCTTATGATGCAACCTCCTGGGGAAACCCCACAGGTGTCCTGTAACAATCCCATTTCCCTTCATAAAACTCACTGTCTACGTTCCACTTGATGCTCCGAGGAGGAAGTTTCAGGGTTTCGTTGATCTTCTCCAGGACAGTCTGCAGCTTTTGCTTCTGGGCAATCTCTGACTGGGTGACCTCAGCGACGTTCAGCTTCTCACTCTCGAGTTTCTCTGGGGCGACAAGGGAAAGAGAACAGCTATTAGCTTTGCTACACACCAGCCTAAGCCATGCACTCATACCTTCACTCACTCACTCACTCACCAAACACATACTGAGCACCCAGGAAGAAAGGGCTGCTGCTGTCCCTTTCTCAGCTGATGGTGGCACTGTGGTGCTAGTGTGTATCGTGAAGACCTAGGGATTGTCAAATTTTGACCTAGGCCAAAATGATAAGGCCTCAGGACCATGAGTGAGTGAGTGAAAGTCATCCCGTCGTGCCTGACTCTTTGTGACCCCGTGGACTATACATACACCGTCCATGGAATTCTCCAGGCCGGAATACTGGAGTGGGTAGCCTTTCCCTTCTCCAGGTAATCCAGGACCATAGGTGGGCATTTAACCCAGCTTATCACATTTGATCTCTTTTCCCTCATATCTGGGCTTTACCCTCTTTTTTTCACATCTGCCTTCTTCTCCAAGGACATGCCTGTGCCCCGACTGGAAAGCCTTCCATGCTTCCCCTGGGCAGTAGTCAAGTCCTAATTCAAGGTGTTTTGAACCCTCTTGTGTAGTACAATATGAATCATATTTATATCTTAAGAACCTTCTTTCCTTTTAAACCCACTTGGAAGATAACTAATGATGTGTCCTATTTAATCAACTCTAATGCACACATCCTTTCACATTTTAACATCCCTGCAATCAGGCTATCTTAAAACTGATGGCATCCTACAACCGCTGACAGCCAGATGGAACAGTTACCACTGCTTCCATGTGGAGGAACTTGGTCATAACTCTTCGCAGTGTGGTCACTTCCATGTCTCAGTAAGCCTACAAGATGCTGTGTAGCAGGAATTAACACAACACTGTAAATCAACTATACTTCAATAAATTTAAAGAAAGCTTACATGAGCAATTTCAAAAAGTAGAACATAAACATTCCAAGTCATAACAAAGCATCAGGTAATAGTTTAATTGAAGGTTTTTTTTCTCTTTGAGTGGTACTTATCCTGGTATGTTTTAAAATCAATGGTTCAGGTATGCAATGATATAACCCCTTAATACTTAAAGGCAAAAAAAAAAAAGTCTATTTATTTTATCCATGTAAATTTATATTTCTATCTTAAGGAACAATTTTGGATTCCTTAATAGGAAATATGCTGTCTACTATTGGATTCACCTAATCCACTCTCTGCAACTCACTGGAGGATTGACAGGACTTTCTTAAGTATGTTTAAAATGTCTTTTCTCCTCATTTTTTAGGCATGCCGTACAAACTAGTGAAACTTCACCATACATCAATGGTCCCCATATAGCTTACATTATCTTATTTTTCAGTAGTTGTAGCTTATCCAAGTCAAATGCCCCTTGATTAATTCTTTGAAGACAAAATTGCCCAGTAGAAAATGGGTTATGGAAAAACCTGAAAAAAATTTTTTTGGCCAACCCAATATATAACAGATCTTATTTAATCATTCCCCTGTAGATACAGAGTCAGGTTATATTCCATTTTTTCCCCATTTGTAATAAAGTTGCAGTAAACATCCTGTGTGTGTGTGTATATATATGTATTACCAACTGATTATTACTGGTAAAAATAAAAGTTATTGTCTTACAAATTTTCTTCTTGAACACAGTCATCTTACCAAATTCCTTTATTATTCTTTGAGTTTTTAGTATTCTCTAGGCATACAAATAACATAACATTACTGTCCCTATTTTGTAAGCTTATGTCACTTATTTCAATTTTATGACATTTTAAGATAGATTTCTTTTAGTCTCTTCTGTTTCTACCCTTCATATTATTTTAAAAATATTCAACCCTTAAAATTTAAGAGATCTACTCAGATAGTCCTACAGTTAAATAACTTCATTCAGTGTTACTAAGAATTTAGATAATTTCTTTTTAAAGTCTTTTTGTTTTTTTTTTCTTTATTCAGCTAATTTCAGCTAGTTCTATGAAAATTTTCCATTACCAAATTTTTATTCTTCCAGGAAATTGTTTCGCTCATGTTTTTATAGTTCTGAAAATTGTTCATCATTAGTTTAACTTGTCATAAAGTAGTAGGCATGATTTTGAAATAGGATGCTATTTAGAAAATTTTCTCAGGTAGGATTATATTGTAAATCTTTCCATTGTTTTTGAAGTTAGCATCCAAATAGGCTTTTGCAGAGGTTATTTACAGAAAACAATGAGAGAGTATTCAAAAAGTTCTCAAATACCAAAAAAGGGCAGAATAAACTCAAGTATTCTGAATGGTTGTCATTCAGAATTGTTAGATATTCTAACAAACACAGTCACACATATATCACACTATATTAATGTAACCACCCTTCAAAGAATTAGAATATGTAAACTACTTCTTCCAATATGAACAATTCCTAAGTTATCATATTTTTGTTTCCAAAACAAATTAGAATATGTAAACTACTCCTTCCAATATGAACAATTCCTAAGTTATCATATTTTTGTTTCCAAAACAAGAGGGTTAGTTTAAAAAAGGTTTTTTAAATCCATGGCTAATTCATTTCAATGTATGACAAAAACTACTGTAATGATGTAAAGTAATTAGCCTCCAACTAATAAAAATAAATGGGAAAAAAAAGTGTTTTAGGTTTAAAACGTCCTTATTTCCTAGTAATGTTAGTCTCATTAATAATGTAGAGACTCTCCACAGCAATGTTTTTCTCCTTAGTCTATTTGATATTAAAATAGTTACCCCAGCTTTCTTTTAATTAGCATTGTTTAGTAGATATGATTATTTCCATTTTTTTCTTTCAACCCTTCTGTATCCTTATATATTAAAGACTATGTCTAGTAAACAGCATATAGGAAGATTTTTTGTTATCTAGTCTGATAATCTTTTAAAAGGATAAAGCCAATTTACATTGATTGGGTTTACAAATATACTTGGATTCACGTGTATCAGCCTACTTTGAACTTTCTGTTACTCTATTTTTCTGATTCTTTAAGTCCCCCTTTCACCCTTGTCTCTTAGATTAAGGCTCTTATTCCCTCTCATTTCATTTTCTCCTTATTAAATGTAGGGAGGCTATATGCTGTCTTATTATTTTAGTGGTTTCTTTAGAAATTTTATCATGTGTATTTAACTTACAGTCTTATGCTAATTAGTCTCTTTATCCCCATACTAAGTAATACAAGGACCTCAGCATACTAACTCTAATCACTTCCTGACTTAAGTGCTATAGTTGTCTGGGATTCTGATTCTATTATATCTTCATTTTTTGTTGCATTTCATATCTTTTCTGGGGGTTCATTTTCCTTCTTTGTGGAGAATACTCTTTAGAAATTCCTTTTAGTGAGGGTCTGTTGGTAGTAAACCCTCTCACCTCATGTTTGTTTAAAATGCCTTAATTTTCTCCCTGTTTTTAAAAGTTGGTTTTTTTTTTTTCTTTGTGGATATAAACCTGTTAAGTTAACAATATTTTTCTGCACTTTCAAAGTTTCATTCCAAAGCCTTGGGATTTTATTGTTCCTGATAAAAGACAGCTTTCAGTCTGTTGTTATAGGTAATCTCTTTTTTTCTCTTTGCTTTTGATCTTTTCTTTGCCTTCAGTCTTCTTAGGTTTCATTATGAAGACTTCTGATTATTTGTCCTGCTTGGGATACCCTGAGATTCCTGAATCTAGACTTCATATCTTCCATCAGTTCTGAAATTTTTAATTCATTATGTCTTTAATTATTATCTATACACTGTTCTCTTTGTTTTCTCCTGCTAGAATTCCAATTAGCCATGTGTTGGGTTTTCTTAACTTCTGTTTTTAATTCTAATTTTCCACTCCATTGTCTTTCTCACATTGCATTCTGGGTAATTTCTTCAGTGCCATATTCCAGCTCATCAATTCCTAATCAGCTGTGTCTAATCCACTGAAGTTTCTAAGTACATTATTCCATTTTTTCCCATTTCTAGAAGTTCTGTTTAGTTCTCTCTCTTAGTTTGCTTGTCTAATTTTGATAGTTACTTGTGCTTTTATCATCCTTTCAATAGTCTTAAGACTTTTGACATATTAAATGTATTTTATATTCTATAACTGATCAATTGCTAATATCTATAGCATTTGTGGGATGAATCTGTAGTTTATTGTTTCGGCTGATGCTGTCATACTGGCTTACTTTCATGCGTTTGGTGATTTCTGATCTTGAGCTCATTTACTTTGGAATTTTATCTCTGGGAATTTTTTGTAGCCTGGTTTAAGGTTCATCCTTTTAAAGAGGTGTATGTTTGCTCCTGCCTTGGGAAGCACTAATAACTTGGAACAAGTTTTAACTACATTTTCAGCTTGGGGCATTTAAAACCACATAGTACTGTGAATTCTAGTCCAAAATTTGTGTGAGTACAGACATTTGATGATAAGGAATTATCAGTTCAGATTTCTTTCTTGTGTCCTATTCACGTCCAAGGCTGAGATAGACATTTATCCTTACTTACCCTCTCTGTGGGACAAGATTTTCTCTTTCACCCACTGAAAGTGTTACACTTCAGAGACCCTGGTGTTACTCAGGAGTATCTGATCCAATTCCCCTTCTTTTCAGGCTTCAGGCTTTCTCTCTTGACCCTGTAAGTGTGAGCCATTAAACCTCAGGCTAATTACTGTTTAGAAATTAACACTTATTTTACTGGATTTACACTTCCTTGTTGTTCTTGGCATCAGTAGGATTTCATTCCTTTCCAGTTAAGCCATACAATGCAAAAAAATTTGTGTTTTTTAAGGTTTATACAGATTTTTAAAGTATGCAGGCCAAGAAGATTTGCTTCAACATTTAGTGAGCCATAATGTTCAACCTGAAAACCTGTTTCCTTATCTTATTACATTAGCTTGTATATCCAAAACACTTATAATGGTGGTGATAGCTACCCTTTCTGACTTGTTCCTAATGCCATGTCTTTGATATTTCACTATTCAATGTGTTCACTGTTAAGTTTTGTATAAATGGTCTTTATCATATTTAGATAGTTTCCTTTTCTTCCTGTTTTACTTGGGATAGCTG